TGTACTTCAGTACATGTGACAATAAATCAATCAATCAATCAATCAATGATGGTCATTGGCAAATGGGTTGACATGGAGGAGATAAGCAGCCATGGGGTAGTGAGGTGGTGATGATTGTGGGATGTCAGAGCTAGAAAGCTTAATTTTTAAGGAAACTGGGATGAAATCCCAAACAACATTCAAATCTCTGTGTTCTGAGGAAGGGTCACCGGACCCGAAACGTTAACTCTGTTTTCTCCTTCACAGATGCTGCCAGACCTGCTGAGCTTTTCCAACAACTTTGTTTTTGTTCCTGATTTACAGCATCCACAGTTCTTTTGGTTTTTAATAATATGAATTATCTGGCAAATAACCAGAAAATATAATCACAGACCAGCACTTTAACTCAACGTGGAAAATTTATTTACTCAGCTAGCACAGAGGAAAGATAAGAAACTGATCAAAATATTATCAGAATTGATAAACCATTTTATCTTTCAGCAGCTGAAGTCTGGAGCAGTGCAATAATCAACATATGCAGGAGATCATGCACAAACAACTGCAATACCTTTCTAGAGAGTAGTAGTTTGCAGTCATAGAAAGATAAATTCTTTGAAGGAAATTTAAATTTCCTGCAAAGTCAAATGATGGTCTTCCATCCTATTTGGCTAGTATTAGATAGGACCTAATCACAAATAACAGTTTCATAAAGAAACTATGATGCAAAAGGTAGCAAGATTTAACCATATTTCATTTCAGGTCTGAAATACTTGAAGGTTTAAAGGCAGATGAAGTGTGTTTTGATATTATGGTTGCATTAATGTTCTGCTATGAATTATTTCAATATAAACAAGTCTTTTGCATTGTCAAAACATTGATTCGAAGACTAGGACTAAATACTATGTAGAAAATACCATATAATTCGTGTACTGCATTGCCAACCTTGAGCCAAGGCAAGTGCAGAACTAGATCAGGAAGTCACATTCAGCCTCTCTCCAAACTGTTGTGGGAAATAGGGAAGTTGCAGACTCTGAATACTGAGTCAATGCACAATGGGAATGTAATTATTTCTCTGTTGCGGATCCACTGAGCAGGAGAACAGAAATCTAGCCCCTACACACTCAATT